AACTGGTCTGAAACTGGCCTGAAACACCTTTCCACTCACCATCTCAGACACATTGTCCAAAGTGGCCGTTCTGAAAAAAAATGAAAGCACAATCGAAACGTACTGAAAAACACGTGAAAGAAACGTCATATTCTAGAAAATAAGCTTCGGTGGTATCCCCAACAGCCGCAACGTTTTATTTTACAAATCTCTCTGAAGCGTGCTGCAAAGCCAAGCGCTGGAAACACCTCAGCTGGGTTTCCGTGAGTTAAATGGCCCCAAATCTTGTTCAACCTGACCTGGCTTTGAACCAAAGCCTCCCAGACCTTCTCCGGAACCTTCTCCGGAACCTGCTCCGGAACCCTGTTGAACCTGACCTGGCTCCGCACCAAAGCTTCCCGGAACCGCACCACAGCCTCCCAAACCTTCTCCGAAACTGACCTGTCTCTGCACCAAGGCCTACCGGAACCTTCTCCGGCACCTTCTCCGGAACCCTGTTGAACTTGACCTGGCTTTGCACCAAAACCTCCTGGAACCTTTTCCAGAACCTTCTTCGGAACCCTGTTGAACCTGACCGGGCTTTGCACCAAAGCCTCCCAGATCTTCTCCAGAACCTGATCCGGAACCCTGTTGAACCTGACCTGGCTCTGCGCCAAAGCCTCCAGGAACCTTCTTCGGAACCCTGCTGATCCTGACTTGGCTTTGCACCAAAGCCTCCCAGACCTTCTCCGGAACCTTCTCCGGAACCTGCTCCGGAACCCTGTTGAACCTGACCTGGCTTTGCACCGAAGCCTCCCAGAACCTCTCCGGAACCTTCTCCGGACCTTCTCCGGACCTTCTCCGGAACCTTCTCCGGAACCTGCTCCGGAACCCTGTTGAACCTGACCTGGCTTTGCACCGAAGCCTCCCAGAACCTCTCCGGAACCTTCTTCGGAACCCTGCTGATCCTGACTTGGCTTTGCACCAAAGCCTCCCAGACCTTCTCCGGAACCTTCTCCGGAACCTGCTCCGGAACCCTGTTGAACCTGACCTGGCTTTGCACCGACTATTCTGGGCTGAAGACCCCATTAGCTTACGCTGCTGGGGAAAAAATAATAACAAACGTAAAGACAAAATGATGAATGTGATGCTTGTATGTGCCCGTCTAAAATGTCATAGCAAACCTCAATATACCACAACGCCAAAAAAAAACGGAAAATGGTTCCCAAAGCGGAAGCCTTTCTGATGCTCAAATGGATGTTGCTTTAACGCGCCTTCATCGCAATCATCTGCTCCATGGTCATCGCTTCCGCAGAAGCTTCCATGTCGTTGCCTATCCCAGTCACCATGGCAACTGCCCAGCGCAGTCAGTGCAGCCACTTTGGGGCTGCTTCGAAATTCTCACTCAACGGCGTGCGGAACCATGTCCAGAGCAACTGTGGCCAGAATGACGTTCAATGTTTCTGTTTGGTACCGAATGGAATCGCCTTACAGCCCCTGCTTTGCAATGTCCACTTTTTTCATCTTTGCATTTGTTATCATTCGTTGACTTGGCACAACTTCACGGATTTCATGATACGGTCTTGACCTACCAGTACGAAACATATGTTCGTCCAAACTCCTCACAACGCCTCCAAAAACATGAGGATGTTTTCAAAAGTGTCGTAACATGCCGTGTAACATGCCGTAACACAAAAGCATGAAAAGATGTGAGAAGGTCAATCGTGATGGATCTCTCTCTCTTTCTTTCTTAATTAACATATGTAAGACTGCTTCAGGCATGATTCAGGCCTGTTTCAGACCTCCCTGGTGAGCATTGTAAGCTTTCGAGAAATAAGCCCAAAGAGTATCCCCAACAGCCAGAAACAAAAACAGCTACCAAACACGCAATGGGTGAAGTATGTTTACTGCCCAGCCCTTCTTACTCTAGAGGTCGGGCGTGCAAGGCGCAATCACGGCACAAACACTTTATGAAAAAACGTTTTTCCAAAAGCGTTTGCAATACTGTGGAAGCTGAAGGGCCAATATTCCCGAAGCTTGGGAGAAGGGTTTGTCTCAAAAACACTGCTGTCCACCTCACTCTTCACTTCATCTACCTAACATACATCATCCACATCTCTTATGTCCTTTACATCACCTACATCTTCTATACCATCTTCTACACCATCTTCTCTACATCTACAACTACAACTACATCTACATCATCATCATCATCATCACCATCATCATCATCGTCATCGTCATCGTCATCATCATCATCATCATCGTCATCGTCATCATCATCATCATCATCATCGTCATCGTCATCGTCATCATCATCATCACTACCTACATCTGTCTCACCTACATTGCCTACACGCCCTACACATTTGTCCATCAACCTCATCTATATAACATGCCTTTTCTACAACACATACTTTACCTACATCATCATCTACATCACTACATCCTCTACATCACCCACATCACCTACATCTTCCGCACCATCTTCTCTACATCATCATCATTATCATCATCATCACCATCATCATCATCAGCAGCATCATCTATCTCACCTACACCACCGACATCACCTACACAACCTTTTCCCATTAACGGTCATTAACGTCATCTACATGACATACATGATCTACAGCACATACATGACCTACATCATCATCTATATCACTACATCCTCTACATCACCTACATCTTCTAGTCGATCTAACCTTACATCACTTACAACATCATCCTCATCATTTACAATATAGACAACATCACTGAACATCAGCTACAGGTGATCAACTTCTAGGGAACTCCTACAAAACTGGAAAATGTCATTTACACAGGAGTTGACTTGCAGGTGATCCACTTCTACTTGAACTCCTACACGACTCCTGCAAGGTCATTTGCACAGAAATTGTTACACAGGATTTGCTACACAGGCGTTCAGCTAAGGGACTGGTGTTTTTTGCGACAGTAACCAGGGTATTTCCAGACGGTTATGTTGATCGGTGTTTTTTTGACCGGTAGCCGGTGTTTTTTGCGACGGTGCCCCCACAATGGTGTTTTTTGCGCCAGTGGTCGGTGTATTTTGCGACAGTGGCCGGTGATAACTCGAATGGTAGTGGTTCGCAGCACAGTAGAGGAGGAGGAAAAGGAGTCAAGGAGGATGAGGAGTCGAGGCGGAGGAGGAGGTTGAAGGAGCCGTCTCTATGGCAGAGAGGTCTGATGGCAGAGAGGCTTGATCGCTAGCATAGGATAGAAGCTATAGGAGGAGGCGGGAAAAGGAGTCGAGGAGGAGGAATGGGGGAGGAGGAGGAGGAGTCGAGGAGGAGGAGGAGGAGGACGAGGAGGAGTCGAGGCGGCCGGTGCGCACACGAGGGACGAGTGTGCGCGACGGGCAACGACGACGACGACGGCGACGACAACGACGATGTTGCTGCTGCTGCTTCAGGGTAGTTGTGGTGACGACGACGACGACAACGACGATGTTGCTGCTGCTGCTTCGGGGTAGTTGTGGTGTTGGCGGTGCTCTGCTGTGCAATGAGCTAGCAAGGTGAGAGCGGCTTTAACAAAAATACGGCGGGTGGGGGGCGCGGGGGAAGGGCGCAGCGCCTCCCCCCGCAGAGCGGAACTGTGCGACTCTTGTTTTTGCTTTTTCTTGTGGGGCGCGGGGGCTGATGTTACAATATTGTTACAATTGAGAGCGGCTTTAACAAAAATACGGCGGGTGGGGGGCGCAGGGGGAGGGCCCATGACGATCGAACCTCATTTCGTGCGAAAGGGTTGCGCCGGACAAGTTGAAATCGCAATTTTACCTCAGTTTTTGACGATCGAACCTCATTTCGTGCGAAAGGGCTGCGCGGGACAAGTTGAAATCGCAATTTTACCTCAGTTTTTGACGATCGAACCTCATTTCGTGCGAAAGGGCTGCGCGGGACAAGTTGAAATCGCAATTTTACCGCAGTTTTTGGCGATCGAACCTCGTTTCGTGCGAAAGGGTTGCGTTTCGTGCCGTCTCGTTGGCACTGCCCTTGCCCCCGCCTTCAGAAGTTCAGAAATATACAAGAAGGAGAGGGCAAGAGGGCAAGAGGAGAAGATGTGAAGATGTGAGGATGTGAAGATGTGAAGATGAGAAGATATGAAGATGAGCAGATGTGAAGATGTGAAGATGAAAAGATATGAAGATGAGCAGATGTGAAGATGTGAAGATGAGCAGAAGATGTGAAGATGAGAAGATGTGAAGATGAGAAGATGTGAAGATGAGAAGGTGTGAAGATGAGAAGATGTGAAGTGAGATGTGAAAATGTGAAGATGAGCAGATGTGAAGATGAGAAGTTGTGAAGACGAGCAGATGTGAAGATGAGCAGATGTGAAGATGAGAAGATGTGAAGATGAGAAGATGAGAGACAGACCCCCACTATTGGAAGAACCCTGCGCTCAGACGCTCTCGGGAAACATATTGTAAAATATAGCATTTTCTGTGCGAACCCACATCCATGCTCAGATGGCCAATGTTGAGGCTTGTGGAGGCTGACTTGGGCCATGTTAACGATGTCTTTTCGCGAAGTTGGCACCATGTAGCACTATCTTGGGCCACGTTGGGGCTGCAGGTTTCACCACGCCTGGCCAGGCCCAACGTCCGCGCGTTGCTTTCTGAACCCTGTAGAATTTGTAGAAAAAGATTCGAGGGGCACAGAGCTGGCCCCAGCCAGCCATCCCTGCCTAACGTTGCTTTCTGAACCCTGTAGAAAAGACTCGGAGCCGGCTCAGCAAGCCCGGCCGCCACGCCAAAACAGCAGTTTCACCGCGCCTGCCCAGCCCCAGCCGTCCGTGTCTAATCCTAGCAGCACGTGGGGTACGACACTTCTTCTCTGACGCGCTCGCCCTGCCAAGGGGTTGGTTCCCAAAGGAAGAGGTGCTATTTTGCCAAATCCGTGCGGGCCAAGGTGACCATACTTTGTGAGTACTGGCAGCAGCACCGCGGGAACAACTTGACGCCGCAGGATCAGAATATCCTTGTTGCTGAACTTGAGCACCTGATTGCTGTGTCATGGCCCATGTTTGTGATCGATTCTGCATGCCTCACTCTTCGAGAGATGGCCGGCAGCAACGACGGAAAATTGGCTGTTGAAGCCTTGCTTCGTTTGTCACTCAAGGGATTTTTTCCAGCTGCCAATGAAGTTTGTCATTTGGCGCCAGGTGCTCTTGGAACGGCGTCAACGTTTCTACACTTTGTCACACGCTACAATCGCATCCCAACTCCTCGAGTGAGCACATCTGGCAGGGTGGAACTTTACTTCCAAGGATCAACTGATCCCATCAGCGGAGCCCTCGTGAATCAGGTTCTTGCAAACCTGGGTGCAGCTGCGGCACTCTCCCGTCGAGCGGAATCACCTTCTGATTGGCCTTGCCAGGCACTCCAGGAAATTTGCAAGGCTTTGAATGGTGACCCAGAAGGTTTTGCAGTTCAGAAGGTGATGGACATGCTTTTTAGCAAGAATGTGTCTGCATATCAAATGCCGTCGCTATGGCCGCTATGGGCTGCAAAAAGAGAGGGCCCTGCCAAACCACGTGAAGACACAGCGCATCCTGACATTGCTTTCCTTGCTTTGGAATATTTGTTTGACCAGCTACAGGCAGATAAGTGGTGGAAGTTCCTCAAAGATTCGCAGGAGCCACAACCCAGAGCCACAGCTGCGCGCAAGGCTGTTGCCTATTTGCTGTTCACGCAAGGACCTGGCAAGGACAATGCCAACACACCTACAGCAGCAACCCTTCTCCATGACCCAGACATGCTTGTACGCAGAGCCGCTGCCAGGGCGCTCTGTGAAGGAGTCCGTGGGAAAGGTTCCATGAAACAGCAGCAACTTGAAGAAGTTGTGGTTGAGCTCACTGCTGCCCTGGAAGATACAGATGACATGGCAAAAAGCGCAGCGTATGCGCTGGCAGCGATTCAACACATCCATCAAGACAGCATTTGGCCACTCCACGAGAATGCTTTGGTGCGCTTGGAATTCATCCAAGCAGCAGCTGATGCACCTGATTCCAAATCTTTGCACCAACTAATTGTGGCAGTGGAAGACCAGAGCCTTGCAGTTCGAGATCGAGCGTTGCTTGGCATTGCCCAGTTTGTTTTCGATGAGCTGGATCGCAAAGTTTCGCTTTTCGGCCAGCCATTAAGAACTGATAGAAAGGTGCAGCAGATGGTGTGGGATCGCTTCAAGGCGGTGTCTTCAATGTCTTCCATGTCTTCATTGCTTCAAGACCCTGAATATGATGCCACGCAAAAGCCACCGGACGAGAGGCGGGCATCCCAGACATTCCAGAACTCTTGTTTCGTAATGTTGCATATTCTTCCCAAGCCATACCCCCGCATGAAATCCAAGTGTTGGCTTCACATAGTTTCAACATGTCTCAATGGTACTGTATATGCCTCACACCCCGAATAAGACCTGGCCATGGTATTCCATGGTCTGGTTGGGTCCAAATCAACGCTGCACATGTTACCGGAAATGTTACCGGAGGCGCGCGTTCCTTCCCCCTTTCATCTCAAGAGCCATTTACCTTTCCAATGGCCTACCATCGCCGTGGACCATTGTGGCTGCCGCTGTTTCATACATTACCTTTGGCCAGCAACACGTGCTCACAGACTTGCTCAGGACATCACGGGACCTTTCTGCTTGAATATTACAACAGAATCTCAGGGAATAGATGTTTGCCCATGTTTGCCTCCATTTGCTGTGCGTAAGCTTTTTCAAACCCAGCAAAAAGAACATAAAAGAACGCTTGTTGAATGAAGCTGCTGATGGCATGTCATGCAGTGAGCTGGGCTGCACTTGGTCCATTTCCAAGTGTATCATGAAACGCATTATTGTCCATCAACCCCGTCAACCCCGTGAGGATGCCAAGAGTCATGGTCCGTCACCACCCCCCTTTCTGTGGAGACAGTGTCCGCCTGAGCCAGTTCTGGACTTGGGTTTTGCCGCCAAAGATTCGAGCCAGCAAACCATTTCGGATGCGGCCACTGATGCAGGCGCACCGTTGCTCAGGTTATCTCAGGTTTCCAAGTGTTTTTGGCTTCCAGTAGCTTCCTCATTGCAACAAAGGTTTTATGGTCTTCCCGGGCAATTTTTTTTTCGCCGGGAAGTGGGGCCAATAGAATGGGGAAGCAAGCTTGTGTCAGTAGACTGCAGGTTGTAGTGACTGGGCATCTAAAAGTGTCAGGTGCACGTTGATCACATTGGTTTCGAATATGTTCGGAAGGTTTCATGGGGTCAGGTTTTGGGCCCTGGCCACATAGCGATCTTGCAGAAAGTGATCCAACTTTTTTCTTTGGGGACTCGCTTGGAAGTCGTCCCGAAGCCCGACCTTGGGGATTCGGCGGTCGCTGCCCTGTTTCACAGTTTCGGCATCACCTTCCGACCCACCAACGTCGATGGTGCCTTGGCCGATGCCTTCGCACGGTTGCATATTGAACATGGATCTGAAATTATCTCAACGTGGAACTGCAAGATTTTGTGCGATTCTTGAGTAAAGATTGTTGACACACCGTGGACAAGACACTTCACGTTACGTTGTTGCAAACCGGTTTTTCCAAGAGGTAACCAATTGACAGAATGGCATGAAAAACCTCGAAAATTTCATTCCGTGGTTCTCACACCAAGACAAAATTAATTGGCAATAGGATGTGGCATGGGGTGTCAATACACCGGAAAAATTTCTTGGATCATGAAATAAAGATGTCCAGAAGAGTTTTTCGTCAGTGATTACCCTTACCACGAAGACAGTAAAACTGCATGTGGCCAGGGGGTTCCATATACGGAACATACTGGAACATATACATACATTATCATATGTGAACATATTGGAATACAGCACCACTCGGGTTCTCTTGTTGGCCTTTTATGCGAACATGACATGCTTGAATCTTGGAAGTTGAAGGCCGCAGATCTAGTATAGAGAGCGATGAGACTGTGTTTGAAAGCAAGTTTTCATCGACAACCCTCACACCAAGAAGGCTCGGTTACAAGCAACCAAAGGCAGCGTTTCGTCCAGCATCCTTTTGCAAAATATAAAATGTTTTGAAAGAACATTTTGTCAATGTTTTCATGCGACGCTCTTCAAGAACTTGAAGACCGCTGGTCAGGATCTTTTGTCAACCAAGGCATGTTTGAGAAGAACACTGCGCGCAGCATTTTTCCCCAAACAGCGTGTCCACACTGAGGAGTTCTTACGGTAGGTGTAAAGGCCGGTGGTTGATCAGGGTGCTCAGTTTGGGCCCCGGCATTTTTCCTGTAAATTTCCGTATGAAGTTGCTCTGTGAAATCTTGACGTGCGTTTCGACTGCACAGGATTGCGCAAAATGTGTGTCCGCGTTCTGGGCTCATTTTGGCCTGCGACATTTTACCTGTAAATTTCATTAAACTTCCGTATGCAGTGGCTCTTGTGAAATCTTGACATCCGTTTGGACTGCGCAGGCTCGCACAAACTGAGTAAATTTCCGCATAAAGTGGCTCTTGTGAAATCTTGACATGCGTTGCGACTGTGCGGCTCAATCTGTGCCGCGGCATTTTTCCTGTAAATTTCCGTATAAAGTGGCTCTTGTGGGATCTCGAAGTGCATTTCGACTGCCCAGGCTCGCACAAAGTGTGGTCCTAGGTCTTGGGATCGGTCCTCCTCCTCAACAGCGTCATGCTCATCATCATCATCATCATCCTCCTCCTCCTCCTCAACATAATCATCTTCCTCCTCCTCCTCAACATTATATATCATTCTCAAATATTCTCAACAACATCATCTTCCTCCCCCTTCACATCATCATCCTCAGCATCATCATCCTCCACCTCATCTTCCGCGACATCGTCCTCCTCCACCTCATCTTCCGCAACATTCCCATCATTTTCCTCATCCTCCTCAACATCATCATCCTCAACATGATGATCTTGATCTTCCTCCTTCTCAGTATCATCATCCTGCACCTTGTCCTCCTCCACTTCATCTTCCGCATTATCATGCTCCACATCATCCTCCTGTACCTCATCATCCTCAACATCACCGTCCTCGGCATCATCATCCTCCACATCATCGTCCGCATCCTCATCTTCATCATCATCATCATCATCAGCATCAGCATCATATCATCAACAACATCAACATTATCATACATTATCCTCCCACCCCCCGCACTGTTTGGGGTCTCTTGCCGGGATATTTTTTGATGCAGTATCATGAAAAGAGGATGTTGAAAAGTATGCAAAAGTGTTTAGCCATGCTTTTTTTGTATGAAGCCAGGGTTCTTGCAATCAGCATCTTGTCCAAGGTACTCATGCAGGTGGAGGATGTTCCAAAACGGCAACTGTTTTCATGCGCGGCAACTATACGATGATTAGTTGAAGAAATTCTTAAAGCTGCACCGTTCTCACCCTAACATCGGGTACAATGTACAGTAGATGGTTTGCGCGAAGGTTGTGTTTTGCCTGGGTATGCGCCAAGCTTTCCTCAATGCCTCTTCCAAGTGTCCTCTCTGTTGCAACCCAGAGCCAACATTTCAACAGAGGATCTTGATGTTCAATACATCATTCTTTTTTTGCCTAAGGTTTTGATGTGAGAAAAGCAGATGTTGAAAGCAAAATGGCCTCAGCGATCCTCAAGGGTTCCTGTCCTATCTCGTCAAGAAGGGATGTTTCAAAGCAGGGCCTCTTCCCGGATCTTGGTAGATGTAGATAGGTGTAGAAAAGCAAGATTCTTGAAAGTAAGACGTGTGAGTAGCACTTCGTCGAGGCTTCCGGTACAGTACAAGAGGACAAAAAGATGTCGAGAGAAAAAATCATCAAGAGGCCTTTTGTGTTCTTTGGCGATGAACAGCATTTCCTCATCGGTACAGTTCTAAAGCATCGACCTTGGCAGACTGGCAGAATTGCTTGCTTTGAAGGTTCCACTCTCGAGGTTTGATCATTGCACCCTGTTGTCTCGACAAAGATTTTCATACGGTTGTTGAAAAACGCAGTTTCCTTACAACTTTCCATATAAAGATAGGCTAGGGATAAGGAAGGCATTGAAAAGAAAGTATTTCTGAACAAGGTTTTGGATCGGGATATTTAATGGGGGGGGATGCTGGAAGACGTTGTTGGGGTTCAGATTCTGGTGCAAAGATGCATTGTGTGAAAAAAGATGAAAAAGCCTCTTGTCAAGAGTTCTCGGGTAAAACAATTGCGCTTTGAAGTCTCTGAAAAAACGTTCGAACGAGTTTTTGATGCTTCCACTTCCTTCACCTCTTTTGAGAAAAATGTTGCGTGCGGATGAGAGCCCTGCCAATTGCATGCGCAGTGTATGTGTTAAATAAACGCCTAAAAGCCGCCTTGCCATTGTAGATGCCGCCGATAAGCCTTATTCGTGCCGGTTGGGCTGTTTCCAAATTTCCACGCCATCCGACCGAGCAGACATTTGGGCCATTAATTATTCAACTTGACCTGCACAGCCCCACCCACTTCCTAAAATGATTCGTCCTGTTTTGCCTGGGACACAATTATACCAAGGGACATGAACAAACGATGCGTCGTTTGCCTTCTGGGCATGGAGGCCATGCTTCATGATGAAATCATATATGATCATATATGGTATCCTTGGTTGTACGGCCCGGCAACAAGGGGCTACGGATTTTTCTTTGTTTTTTAAGATTTTTACAAACTTAAACTTATCTTCCAAGGTATTGCGGCAGCAAGCAAGCAAGCCAGCCAGCCAGCAAGGGAGAAGGGCATGGCAGCCAGCCGGGCAGGCAGCGAGCCAGGAAGCAAGCAAGCAACCAAGGGAGGACAGCAAGCAAGCAAGCATGGGAGGGAGGGGGACAGCCAGCGGCAGCTTGCCTGCCTGCGTGCCAGCCAGCCAGCCAGTAAGCAATCCAGCCAGCAAGCCAGAGCCAGCACGCAAGCAAGCACGCAAGCAAGGAAGGAAGGAAGGGAGCAAGGAAGAGGAGAGAGGGAGGGAGGGAGGGAGGGACATTTTAAACCTACCTTAAAGCCCATCTGACTTGTTGAAACCAAGTCTCTACAAGTTTCAAATCAGCCCGAAACAACCCCGTAAACCAACCTTAATTAGACCCTAAACAAACCTTGAGCGTACCCGTAAGAAACAATAAATTCAACAAAAATAGGCTCTCCAAAACTTAACAATCTATGAACATCCCTAAACTAAATTTGAATAAGCCACAACAAACCCTAAATAATTTCGATCCAGCCACACATAAACACCCTAAACCAACCCGAATTAGATCTAAACCAAGCTTGAATAAATCTTAAGCCAACCCGCAAGAGACAGAGTGAACCAACCATGAACAAACACCCGCAACCAACCACGGAGAAATCAAACAACGACAACTGCTAAGCCAACCTTAGACAAGGTTCCGGCGCCAAGAGCGGCCCCGCCATTTTCCCCCAAACAGCATGTCCACACTGAGGGGTTCTTACGGTGTAAAGGCCGGTGCTTGATCAGGGTGCTCCATCAGGGCCCGGGATTTTTTCCTATAAATTTCTGCCAAAAAAAAGGCTCTTCAGAAACATCCAACTGCATTTCGACTGCGCAGGCTCCAACAAGGTCTGCGCCACGGGCCTGGGCTCGAGCATTTTGCCTTTAAAATTCCGCACAAAGTGGCTTTTGCGAAATGTAGTGCGTTTCAACTGGCTCGCGCAAAGCGCGGGTGGCTCGCGCAAAGCGCGGGTGGCTCGCGCAAAGTCTGCGTCGCGGTCTTGGTCTGCGGCATTTTACTTGCAAATTATCGCGCAATGAGGCTCTTGTGACATGTCCACGTGCATTTCGATTGCGCAGGCTCGCGCAAAGGTCTTGGGGTCGGTCCTCCTCCTCAACATCATCATCTTCCTCCTCCTTAACATCATCATTTTCAACATCATCATCTTCCTCCCCTCGACCTGATCATGATCTGCCAACAGCTAAGAATTGGATGGAGGCCAGAGAACAGAGCATCCCTGCTTGTTTTGGACCAATGTTTGTCAGCTGCGTTATATTGTCTCCTATGGCAACAGATAAGGTGGCATCGCTGGGGCGATCTTGCTTTCGGCAGATGATACAAGGCCAAGTATCTTGAATTTGGAAGCCTTGGAATTGGCGGCATGGCGTGGATTTGCCCCGCATCCTGATTCCTACAAGTACCCAGTATTGCCTGTGCTCCGGCCTAGGCTCGGGGGTTTATAGGTGATGTCATGGTGTGCGTTTAGGGGCCGCTGCGAAATATTTGGGAGAAAACAATTTCCATGAATTCAACCGTTAGGTGGTGGCTGGCTGATATGTGCACAGTTTTGGTGCAGCTCATTTTTCTGGCCATCATGTCCTTTCTGCCACTGGCTTGGTCGGTGCTTCACTCATTGAACAGAGTGCCGTACCACGGAGTTTCTCCAATGACCAGCTTGACTGTGGACCATTTCGGCAGCCGCGGAGCTGAGTTTACCGCAGTTTTGCTAGAAACTTATCCACAAGCTGCTCTGTTCACTTTGGTCGCTTTCTTCGTCTTTGCGGTTTCT